TCCTTCCAATCGATCTGTGGAAGGAAATCAAACCCACAAAAAGTTTGTTCTTTATTGAAATCAAAATCAAATCATAGAACCCAAAAATAAAATCTTGTTGGTCACTGGAACAGTCGATCGAAGCTGGCGACGGAGGTAAGGCAGAGGCGGAAGGCCGGCGACGGAAAGGGATGGCTGAGGCGGAAGGCGAGAGCGGCGGCTAAGGCTGGCGACGGAGGGAAGGAGAGATGGTAGGAGAATGGAAAAGACCGACGACGACCAAACGTCCCTTCAACTCTGACGACGACCAAACATAAGCAAGTTTATGTGAAGATTGTTGAGGTTGAAAGTCTGCAAATTTGCGTGAGAAGGAGAGAGAGAGAGAGAGAGAGAGCCAGAGAGGGAGGAAGAGATAAAGTGGTAGTGGAGGCTATGTATATCCATATGTGATTTTTTTATTTATTTATAATTTAATTTAAATTAATATTATTAAGGGTTAAAATGGTAATTTGTTATTATTCAKAAAAAATTTACCAAACAACCATATTTCATTCAGCACTTAACCATTCTGACCCTCTTAGCCATTCTGACCTCTTAACTATTCTACACTAAATCATTCAGCAACTGCCAAACAGCCCATTAGTTAACTGTTATGCTCTCGGAGGTCTGGCAACAATTGGCACGACGTAAGAAAAATCAGAAATTTAGATTAAATGTGTAAATTTTCAACCTAAATGACTGAGGGGTTGTTTATACCAAACACTAACCAGTAAAATTTTAATCAATCAACACTTTACCGGGTATGATTTGTAGTTATTGCCATGTTCATCAACACTTAGTTCTTACCCAAACACTCACCTGGTAAGAGTTAACATTTTTTTTATCTTACCTGATAAGCTTTTAGTCCATCAACAATTTACCTGTTAAAACAATAAACCGGTAAAAATCATCACTCTCACTTGATTCTTGTCATCGTTCTTATCAGATAAGATTATTGATTATTGCCATTTTCATATAATAAGGTAAAATGATGTACTCACTTAGTAAACCATTCAACAACCGTAAAAACAGCTCATAAATTAAACATTTTATCAATTTTTTAAAAATAATTTATCGAACAAATTTTTTGCAATAAAATTAAAAAACAAGCAACCTTTTTTACTCTTCTACAGTTTTAAGGTGTTTCTTTTTTTGTTTTTTCTATTTTCTAGGGCGAATTAGATCTCATCCGTCGATCCTTGAATTCATCAACAGTCAGTCTGTCGATCCGCGTCGTATCCCACCCATTATCACTTTTCGCAAATTAAATCCTGTCCGTCCAAACAATCCGCATCAAATCAACGGCTATTATCCATAATCCGAGACAACTAAAATCCACCAATCAGATCACGCTCTCAATCACCATATAAATAAAACCCTCCCTCCCTTCCATCTTCTCATCCCACAATCATATCTTTCTCTCTCTTTCTCTCTAAAACACAAGTACTCTGAAAATGGCGCCAAAGGCAGAGAAGAAGCCAGCTGAGAAGAAGCCAACGGAGGAGAAGAAATCCGCCGTGGCTGAAAAAGCCCCCGCCGAGAAGAAGCCGAAGGCCGGGAAGAAGCTTCCCAAGGAAGCCGGCGCCGGTGCGGCAGACAAGAAGAAGAAAAGGAACAAGAAGAGCGTGGAGACTTACAAGATCTACATCTTTAAGGTTTTGAAGCAGGTTCATCCCGACATCGGGATCTCAAGCAAGGCCATGGGGATTATGAACTCTTTCATAAACGATATATTCGAGAAGCTTGCTCAGGAATCTTCTAGGCTTGCGAGGTACAACAAGAAACCGACGATTACTTCCAGGGAGATTCAGACGGCCGTCAGGTTGGTGCTTCCCGGTGAGTTGGCTAAGCATGCTGTATCTGAAGGAACGAAGGCCGTTACCAAGTTTACCAGTTCTTAGATTTGGGGGTTTAGGGTTTCTATTGGTGTTGTTTCAGTATTAGGGTTTACTTTCTGTAAAAATTTCATCTTACTCGATGAATTATGTGGTTAGCAGGTGAATTGAAACTGGTAATAGTTTGTTGTGAAACATTTGATTCCAATTGAAAAGTAGCGTTTATTCCTACAATCATTATAGCTCTTAATTGACTCTACCCTTTTTGTATTTGATACTTCCATTTGAACCTTCTACCACTGGTTTTATGAATTGTTGTTTAGCTGATTATGCTATGTTCTTCCAAGATTGAACCTTGTTCTTGATAAAGTTTTCTTGATTTGCTTGCGTACTGTTTGTTGATTTATGCTGTTATTGAATTGTTACCCTCTTCTTGGCGAATTGGATTGTTGGTCTTTATTGCTTTGAAAGATTATTGGTTCATATGTCAAACTGAAATTTCCAGACTAGTGCAAAAAGGACAACTGTTGCAATTTCTTCAATCTTGTCCAGCAGAAGATCTCTGACTTGAGGGCATTTTGGGAAAAGCTTGATAGCCCAAGGCAGATGATTGGATTCAGTATGAATATGGGCTTTTAGCAACATACTGTACAGTTGCTATTCAGAAATTATCAAAGGTATTTGATGGTTTCATTGAAAGTACAATGGTTGGTTAACCATTCTGTATTTTCAAACTGTTAAATTCAAATGGAAACAAAATGGAGACTACAAGCCCAGATGCTGCAGCCATAATCGGGAGCCTGATATCCTCAAAAAGGTGCGATTCTAACCAAAATAAAAGAATTCAAGAACAACAATAGCATTTAAAATGGCGCATCCCGGCTAATATGCACACAAATCTAACTATACAAGTTTTTGATCCTACTGAATGTTCTGTATAAACAACAGTGTCTAATTTATATGGCCAAAGTACATATATGGCAGAGTTTACTTCAAGATGTATATATATGATACCTTGTTTACTCAATCTCAGCATGCACATAGTCTACAAAAACAAAATTCTTCTGGAGTTCATGACAATAATAAGCCAACCCGCCGCTTAAAACTGCAAGCCCAGCAAAAGCGACACGAATTTGGATCTCAGGAGGAACCCCAGCAGCAGCACAAAAAACAACAGCTGCTCCGATTAAAACCTTCTGCAGTGTCTCAAATGTTTTATGAGCCTTCTTACAAGAAGAACATTTCAATGTGTGTTGCTCATATCTATCCAGCATCTGCCACAAAGAACCAAAACAGTTGCAAAAATATACAAGAAACATGAAAATCACATCCCAAGAACAGTTTCCCATGTGTGGACAAGACAAGACTGGACATGCGAGACTGAGGTAGATTGATGAAAGAATTGTCGAAGGTTTTAGGGTTTTAACTTAAACAAGGGTAGTTAAATTTACCAAGTTCTGTCCCATCTTCCTATTTTTGTTCCACCTATTTTGGTGGGACAAAAAAGGGTGTTGCTATATCGGAATTGTCAAATCATACATTGAAAATGTAAAAAATAAATCTTGATATTGATATGTGTGAGGAAATTAGTAGATAGTGTACCCCACAGAAAAATAATGCATTTTTGTCCTAGGTTAGTCCAGTCCTAGACCTAGTCTAGCTGTTGCACCAAACATGGGACAACAAGTTTTTGTTCTGTAGTGTCCTGCATACCAAACACACCCAATTCAAGTACCTGACGTTTGGATAGGTATGTTGAGGGCAATGATTGCACGTTGGCATGACCAAACCACTCAGGTTGACTATTGCCATGTCGTCTGAGCCAATTTCGGAAAGCCAATACAAAACGATCAGCTTGTGTTGGTGTAAATGTGAGTTTTGTGTACTGCTGGTTGACATCAGTGGAACCCTCCATTGATTTCGACAGAAAGACTTTTTCTTGGCCTTGCAACACAATCATATCTCCATCATATACTTTGTTTGAAGTCCAATGTTCGTGCCATCTTGGAACAACCTGCGATTTTTTTAATAAACGAATGAAAATGGAACCCACAAAATGGGTTCATGGTGTTATACAACAGGATCTAAGAAGGTTTACCTGCCACCATGAAGATCCAGGCATCGTAAACTGAAAGAAGTTTCGAGCACTGCAAACAATAGAACGTGTCTTTCCTGGTGCCATTGGCACATTAAAGGAACAAATCCATATTACCCACTTTTGGTCACCCACAATGGGAAGTTTTGTGTCGATCTCTATTCTGGAACAACAACAAAGTTGTAACTTTTGACTTAGCAAATAGTTTAACTGTTCAATGTAGACAAAGAACAATATCTTATGGAGCCATATCAGTACCATGACTACCATCAGGGAAAGTTCATGTATCATTATCATTCATGATGAATAACCTTGAATAATCATGTATATTCATTATGAATATCTATCACCACATTCAAATGAATAACACATAAAATAGTTGGTTCCAAGATTCTCAAGGTATCCACGGGTTCATTTGAAACTACCCCTAGTACCATCAACATATCTGTTAGATGATAACGGAAGTCTATCCGCAAAAGAAACGTTGCATCTATAAAGGAGACACTAACTTACTTGTTTATATAATAGCAAGGTGCAATGAACTTGGCACTGATTTTTGGGTTCCCTTCATTTTCTCCAGAAAATCCCCAATGGCCATTTGAATCCATCTTAAAAGGCAGTGGCTTAGCTCTATCCCTCCTACCAGTAACCTGTACAATTATTCAACAGATGAAGAATCTGGGCAGCGACTACTAATATTTATTCGGGTTTTCAAGGAGAATATAAGAAGAATTGAATTCATATAGAAATATTTGGGCTTACAAGTGTTCACCTTATGATGGGCAAAATCAATGTGGGAGGGATCAGAAACATTCTCCATGAGAGTATCGTAGCCGTAGAACAAATCACGTTGAATCGTGACCGTAGAAAATTGAGGGTTTTCAAAGTCATCAGGCAACCTAAACAATTCATGTATCACCAAAAAAACATTTTAAATCAAGGCAAGAGATTAAGCAAATAGCACTGGGTCTCCCAAAAGAAAGAAAGTTTTCAATGTCATTAATTGTTGAGCAAATTGGATCATTTCAATTTTTAAACTTTCTAAAAAAAGAAAGATTGCAATTTCTAAAGCACCCTTCAAGAATCTTGCAAACCCAAATCAATATCATTAATTGTTGAGCAAATTGGATCATTTCAATATTTGAACTTTCTAAAAAAAAGAAAGATTGCAATTTCTAAAGCACCCTTCTAAGAATCTTGCAAACCCAAATCAATATCATTAATTGTTGACCAAAATTGGATCATTCAATTTTTGAACTTTCTTAAAAAAGAAATATTGCAATTTCTAAAACACCCTCCAAGAAACTTGCAAACCCAAATCAATATCATTAATCATTGAGCAAACTGGATCATTCAAGTTTTAAACTTTCTAAAAAAGGAAAGATTGCAATTCCTAAATCACCCTTCAAGAATCTCGTGAAGCCATAACTAAATATCCGGCAAATAGATCATTCTAGTTTGAGAATGTTCTGGAAAAAGGAATTGCCATAAACTCAGATCATCTTGAACAAGAGATTGCAGATCAACAAATTAAAATCCTTGGGCAAACAGATCATTCTAGTTTCGAAGGTTTTAGAAAAAAGAATGCATATTATATCAACACTTGACCAATAGATAACTTTATGATTTATTTAATAAATTAATTAAATATAATAGACACTAAAAGAAGTTAGTAGTTACATTGGAGGCTTAGTGGCAGCAGCTAGTTCCAAACCATTCTCATCAGGCCACACAAACAACAAACCTTGCGACACCAATGTCGCAAACCTAGTCGCACAAGCTCTTGGTGATTGAACAGCTCGAGCTTCGGGTCCTTCCGATGACGCCTGAGGGATCCGAGAACACGACCCACATCCATCAAAAGACCATCCATGGTAAGAACACTGTAGATGTCCATTCTCATCAATCCTTCCTTCCTGAAACAATCCGAAAAAGACGTTAGTAAAACCCTAATTTAAAAGGGTAAGTGGAGGGTTTTTTAGAAGTAAAATTACAGATAAAGGAGCAAGACGATGAGGGCATTTGTCATCAAAAGCAACCCATTGATTGTTAATTTTATCGAACCAGATAACAAGGTCACGATTGAGGAGAGTAAAAGGGGTTGGGAGGTTGGGATCGAGGTCTTCGATTAAGGAAACAGGGTACCAATGATCCCTCCATGAGAATTTGGAGGAAGAAGTGGTTTCAGATTCTTCGATTTCGAGATCAATTGAAGAATCGTTGGTGGTGGTGGGGGATGGTGGAGCAGCTACACGAAGTGGAGGAAGAAGGGTTCTCCGGCGAGATGAGGGTGGTGGTGGTGATGGGTGTGAGTGGACGATTATGGGTTTTGTGTGGTGTAGAGAAAGAGAACAAGGAAGTAAGCGACCGTTGGTGGTGGTTGTTGTCGGTGGCGATGGGAAGAGTAAAGAAGCCATTTTTATTGATTTTCTTTTTCAAGAAAATTGTACGTGGTTTCTTGATTCTAGTGTGTGTGTGTGTGTGTTTTAGTAGGTTTAAAAGGAAGACATTGCGTGCAAGTTTGTAATGCGTTTATGCAAAGAGCCAAAATTGAACAACAATGAGAACAATTGCAACCTTTCACAATTGTGTCAACGCCGTTATACGTATGAATATCAAGATTTATTTTTATATTTTTAATATATGATTTAATCTGATTTTAATATAAATAAATCTGTATAATACAAGACCCTATAAAATTAGAGGTGCCAAAACAAATGAGTTCGTCGGATTAGTTAATAATAGTTTGTTTCAAATACAACCCATCACATTGTACAATCCAATAAATTGAAATATTTATGGACATGATTTGAGTTCATTTATTATTATTTGAATATTTATAGAGGATGAACATGGTTCATTAAATAATGATCAATACTTTATATTAGGAAACAATCAAAACTTCTATGAAATCACATATTAATCAAATGAAATGGACGATTGAGATTGAGTTGTATTGGTTGCACAAATGCCAAGGGTTGTATAATAACCAACCTCTCTCTCTCTCTCTCTCTCTCTCTATATATATATATATATATATATATAATATGAATAAAACATATGAAAAACAAGTTTAAGATTAAAGTATCGAAGGATAAAAAAAGACGAACAGACCAATTTGCCTTTGATTTAACGGAGACTGATGAACGAGCATTTGGTTTAAGGGATCTAGCCATAAAAAATACAACCATCAGGACCAAATATATAATTAATCTACCCATAAGGCCATACCCAACATGGGATAGAAAAACAACGGATAACCGACTGAATTGGGGAGCCTGAACGACATTGATGTTGAGTCCACCAGTCGGCAAATGACTTCTATTTACCGGTGCTTTCATTATGGATCGGYCGACTTGTCACGATTGATTGCTCACATACAATTAGGTTAGGTAGGCAGGCTTGGAGAGGTGATCTAAATCACTATCGATACGATACGGGGATGGTTTGTTGAACGTAACAAATCCCCTAAAAAGAGCGGCGAGATCTTTGATCTCGACAGGGGAGGGATTGGGGTCACTTTGCATTAGAACTTTAGTTCGTAACAAGGCTCGAAGACTTCCGGCTGGATTTGAATGGAACTTTAGTTAGCATAATTTTTGGACCAATTCCGTAGTTCACTCCTTTTTTTTTTTTTTTGATTAACCTGGATATCCAACCCGCTATGCGAGCCGACTAATCCCAGGACGACCAGCTGTTTTGCAGATAGCCTGGAGTTACCGCATTTGAACCTCCGTGGCCATAAGAAGATTTTTATTCCTCCTTGGATTTGAACCTGAGACCTCCTGGTACTTTTGACCTTTGGAGCCAAGCTCAAACCAATCAGACACCACCCTTGTGGTTTTCACTCCCATTTTTACGTTTACAGGTTCAAACTTGTAAGGTTTTTTGAATTATAAAGCACGAACCAAAGTTGACTTTTTTGGTCAAGGCTTTCATCTTTGTTCTGTTTCACACAAATTGGCTTTTTTACTTCTTGGTTCATATTTTATAAAGGTCAAACTACACACCAATATCAAAACTTTCATTAACATGGATGTCTGAGCCAGCTTGCACACACATCAACTAATCCTAGAGGTACCGGAGAACATGCTGGTGAATCCCCAGTGGCATTGCGGGACTCGAATAGGTGACCTACGAGGAGAAATCCCAAAGGCCTAAGCTTTATTGCCAGTTGAGCTAAACCCATGAGGTTAAAACCTTCATTTTTGGGTTAAAGGTTTTTTAAGAACTTCGATTTCATGATAGAATCAGGTCGGTTTTCTTTTCTTCAACCGACTAAATCGAGCGGATTCGGTTTGTATTGTAACAAAAACAAGAACCGTATAATTGAGACCATAACATTTCAAGCATTATTAACCCGACTCATGCAAATTCAACACCGACTACATTCATCTTTCGGGATCGGCATAATTAATTCAGTATACAGTACGTCTTATAAGAATACCTAAATATTATTTCTTAGAATATGACTGGAAGTCGGGTCCAACGTCACGTGATCCAGTATTGATATAAGGTCCTCGAAAAGTTGCTTGAGGTGGCAGTGGTTTCGATGAATCAATAACGGGTCCCTTTGATGATCTAGACCTGCATTTGACGTATAACAACTGTTTCAATAAAGATTAAAAGAAGATGCAAAAAAATGATAAGCGAGCAATGAAGAATCAACTTACGCCATGTAAAAGGGAAACGCTAAACCTGCACTTGCAAAAGCTAGTAAGCCTGTAGCAACGATCATGTTGCGTGTACGCGACATGAAGATTTCGAAGTGCGGGAAATGGAAAATAAATCTGAGAATCAACAAATGGGAATATCAGTATACCAATGCCAGTTATGCACTTTTCATTTTTAAAGTATATAATATATATACAAGGCAAACACTCACGCACGATGAAAACGGCACACGGTTTTAGAAATTTGTAATCATTACATTTTTTAATCAACTAAATGACAAGTTTACCCTTAATAACAAAGGTACCAATGAATTTCTCCATCTCATAGTTAAGGGTAGCATTGGAAACTAGACACTTATTTTTGAAAGTGGACACTTATTTTGGGACAGAGTGAGTGCATAAGTAGAAAAATATGCTATTTTGGTATAAGAGCCACCAATGGCCATCATATTCTACAACCAACAACAGCGCCATTTCCCATTTCAGAAGCGAGCATGAACATCCTCACCAACTCTGAACTGATCATGTAAATATCAAACCAACCACGAATAGCACTGAGGTCAACATTGTCACTAGCTCAGAATCGATCCATGCCTTAGTGATTGCTTTTTATGACACCATGATTCATATTTCTACATATCTTCCGTCTAGTGGCTTATCAATATCCGAAACAAGTGACAACTATACCTAGTCACAGGCATCATCTAGTTTTAGGCACTGCATGTAGAATGAAGTTCCGCAAAGAGTTGGATAGGTGCAGATATCGGGAAGGAATGATGTAGTGCAGTTTCAGCTAATCCAAAAAGGGCGGAGAAGTTAAAATTTGAGTGTGTATGATGCAATCTACAGAAGAACCCAAGTATTTACCCCAAGTTCTATGGCACTTGCAAAGATTGGAATTCAGTGTCGGAACCTATTTAGTTTAAACTCAAGCTAGTTTACTGGAATGCAATCATAACTTCCTAACCATGGTATTCGAGTTTCCAAACAAACCCTATATGTCTAGCTCATACACTGGATTAGCATTGGGACTGTTGATATTCCTAAGATGAACACTCTATAACCGTGAAGCCAACTCAACTGGCATACAAAAACTAGGCCTTGGACTCCTTCCCATAGATTTGCCAGTTTGTAGATCACTTCTATCGCAATATAACAAATCAATCGAGGTGGCGATACTTAAATTTCGAGGAGTTAAGTTATGTTTTTACGAATTAATCCAGAATTTGTAGCAATTGATTACATACAAGGACTCTTGGTACTACTTGAAATCATGATTGAATTCATTGCACTTATCTAGCAGAAATCATCGCCACTATAAGAATTTAATTATCTCATTATGAAGAACTTAATCCAAACAACAGAAGATAGTGCCTCAGATATCAACTTTCCTCAAACTCGTTGAAATTATTTGTGGCATCATGATATTTCACATGTTTTCAATTCGCAAGTTGAAATTTCTTGATGCGATTTTAAGTAAACCTAGATTAGATCATTACGATGAAAACCATAAGTCTGAATCCCCTCAAATCCTGTAACATCTATTCATAAATTGAAGCCACCAAACCCTAGAAATTCACTTAAGATCATGATTATAGGTAGGTAGTGAGACATTGGAGAATCAAAGTGACATAAAAGGATAATCAGATTCAATACAATAATTCGATTTACCTGGTGGTGATAAGATTTGAAGCCAAAGTTGCTTTGGAAAGCTATGAATCGCCAACGATGTTAATTTGGGCGCCTTCTATGTGACCCATGAATTCATCTAACCAAAACGGGGCGAACAGCTCGGGTGGAGTCCGTGTACCCGTGACCCGATATGATTACCATTTTACTTATGGATTTATCCACTCTATCTATAAACTAGGGGGCTGTTTGGCAGTTGCTGAATGATTTAGTTCAGAATAGCTAAGAGATTAGAATGGCTAAGAGGGTCAGAATGGTTAAGTGCTGAATGAAACAAAGTTGTTTGGTAATTGTTTTCTGAATGACAGCAAAATTACCATTTTAACCCTCAACAAATACAATCAATTCTAAACATTTTTTTAGAAAAAAAAGATGCTGTTCTTCATGTTCTTCATATCAAGATCACAAATCCTCAAGAAATTACAAAACATAGGTAATCCAAACATTGTTACAAACATGAAGTTAGCAATAAACACCATCAATTTTCAAAGAAAAATGCTACCCTAAACCAAACCCTAGACAGAAAAATGCTACCCTAAACCAAACCCTAGACAGAAAAATGCTACCCTAAACCAAATGAAAGAAAATCGGACTGTGGAAGAAAATCGGACTGTGGAAGGCGACGAGGCTGTGGAAGGCGACGAGGCGGCGACGAGGCTGTGGAAGGCGACGAGGCGGTGACGTGAAAGAAAATCGGACTGTGGAAGAAAATCGGCGACTGTGGAAGCGATGGTTATGCGATGGTTTCAATCGGTGGTTTCGACCAGAAAATGAACGGCGACAGTGGAAGCGAACGGCCACTATGGTTTCGATCGGCGACTTGTGGAAGCGAACGGCGACTGTGGTTTCGATTTTGGGGAAATACATGAAGCAAACGGCGACGAGGAAGCAGATGGAGGGAACGACGACCGTGGAAGAAGTGGGATTATCGCAGAAGGAGACGGGGACCGGAGATGGCGACCGGAGATGGCGACCGGAGATGGCGATCGTGGGGGTGGGAGGCGATGTGAAGGAATGATGTGTAGAGAGGGCAAATCTGGAAAAGTTTAGATCTTAATGGTTGAGGGAAGGGTTTAACACAAAATGGTTAAGAGGTATATGTAACCATTAAGAGGTTTCATATTTTGTGCCAAACACTCCAAACCTCTGACCGATTAAGAGGCTCCCTCTTAATGTCACCATTAAGAGGGAAACAAACAGCCCCTAGGAAACTTTACCGCGCTTCGTGCGGTCGTCGTTAACTGATGAAAAAAAGCATTGATAAGTTTGAATTCGATATAAAGTGTTAAAAGGTATCACAATAATTGTGGGTACAATTTTGTTTTTGAATGTTTTATTTTGTTAGAATAAAAAGAGTTAAAATACATTGGTTGCAGAAAAATGAATATGTAAGTTTGAATTCTGTATAAAGTGTTAAAATGTATCACACTAATTATGGTACAATTTTATTTCTGAATGTTTTATTTTGTTAGAATAAAGAGAGTTAAAATATTTGGTTGCAGAAAAATGAATATATAGCGTAAAAGAAGTTAAATTGTGAAATGATAGAGAATACATTCTATAGATATATAACTGATTTCTTGCTTTTGGTTGTCTTATTATTATAACAATAAAGAGAGGTGTAATTTATTGCTTGTGAAAAATAAAATATAATTTATAAATAACATATGTCAATTCGGTATATTATTAGGTGTAAAACCGAATATTACCTTTTATAATGAAAATCCAATAAAATTGTGACATGGAACGTGGTTATAGTAGAAAATTATCAAATTATGTTTTAGTTTAAAAATATGGGAAATTATCATTTTTTTCCTTGTATGAATATCCCGAGTCCTAAAAAAATGTAATATAAGATAAATAATTAACTATTTACAAAAACAATCTGCAATCTTCAAAATGAAAATAACAAAATTGTCAATTCGAGATATCTAGATCGACTTCAAAGTCCATATTTTATGAAAAATCGAGGTAGTTCTTCAAAATGAAAACATACCATTCCACGTTTTGTATATCTAGTCTCATAGAGATATTGGGACATCTAATTAGTTTTCTCAGAACTTCATAGATGAAGGAAACACACCAGCAACTGATTTTGTCATAGACTTTTCATGTTCCTCCTTATATGGTTTCTCTAATCTCCTTCAGTTTGCTTCTAATCCAAAATGAATTAAAGTAATCATAAATAAAAAAAAACCATGTAAATAAAAAGTTGTCATCATTTTCTTTATATAATCACCCCCAATGTTCCAACATATCATCTTTTTATCAAAGTGAGAGATGGATAAAGTTAACTACAATTCAATATTTTGGAATTCTCAATCCACATTATTTCATATCATGTTTTTTGGTTCTTACTTATAGATTATATATTTATAGATATAAAGGTTTAAATGTTTATTAGATCATTATATGTAACTTATATATAAAGTAAATGAAAGGTTTATTCATTTAATGATATGTTTTTATTTAAAATAATTCAAAAATTGGAAAAAATAGCAACCAATGATTCTAGCTCTCTCTCAATATGCCACATCATCTATATATATATATATATATATATATATATATATATAGAAGCTTCGAGATTTTTTAGACATACTACTGAAAATAAAATGTATTTTGTTCAAGGTTCTAAACAACGTGAGTGTAATGCGACAACGAGGTCAAGTCTTAAGTCATAGGAGTCACGGTGAGGCATGACGTCTTTGTTATCCCGTTAAAAAAAAACGTATCCGGCCATGACATGTCACAAGCTTTACGTGACGTCAAACACAAGTTTTGAACTCCACAATAGCTGTTGCAACGACCCTTTTACAACACCGATTTTGATTGACGTCTTATCCTAAATCTACTTTAGAAGTCACGTCTTGATTTAAGAATTTCGTATTAAAATGGATTTTTAAATAATTTATTTTTTAAAAGTTTTAACATAACAAGATTTTTTTAATAAAAAGAAATTAGCATTTTTGTTTAAAAAATTATAGTATATTCTATTAGTTATATATAAAAAATTAATGCCTTCTTTTAATTGCATAAAAAAAATATTATCTATATTATATTATAAAGCATTTGACAAAAAAAATTTAAAAACCACTTTTTATGCATAAAATACTGTTTATTGATGCATATTACTTAAAATTCAAGATTACAAGTTGATTGTGCATATGTACAACTTATTAAAGCTTCATATTTGAATTCGTATAACTAACTGCGGATAAACATAATCAAATACATGATAAACATTATTTTAAATATAAAATATCTAAAATATAGTTAAAATAATTATTAAGTTCTAACAGAATACTTAATTATTATCTTAAAGAAATTATTTTATTAAACCAAAAATAAATTATTATCGTTTTTAAAATTCAATTAAATTATAATWAAAAATTGAATTAAAGAAATTACACAAAAAAGAAAACTTTAAATAGTAAATTTGATATTAATATCGTTTATTTTATCAAAATTTTATAATATATTCAAATTTATATTTCATTCAAAAATAAAAATATTTTATTTTTCTTAAAACCACATAAAATCGTATTAAATTTATCTCGTTGCATTGCACGAGTACCTTCTAGCGTTCTCTAATATGCATATAGAGTTTTTGAAAGTATGCTTATTAAAATTAAAATATTTTTTATTCTAATCTAATTTATTTTTTTTATTAAGTTGGATATCCAACTTGCTATGCGAGCCGACTAATCTTAGGATGATCATCTGCTTTGCGGGTAGGCCGGAGTCACCACCTTTAACCCTCCGTGGCCACAAAAGGATTTTAATTTCTTCTTGGATTTGAACCTGAGACTCCACTTTTAACATTTAGAGTTCAAGCTCAAACCAATCAGACACCACCCTTGTTGTTAGGTTTATACTTATTTTTATCACAATTATATTTTCATTAATTCAACAATTTTCATACCATCTAAATCCAACATAATCCTAAATGCCAAAAACTTCTGGGATCTTGGCATTCAATTTTTTGGATGAATACTGAAATACATAGATATCTTTCAAATTATCTGGTGTCAACGTTCTCCTTTAAATACGTTTGTGACTATGCCTGGTAAGTGATTTTTCGATTCAAAATGACCCCAAAACCATATATACATAAGGTATAAATCGAATTTTATTTTGTAATGCTAACATCAAACAACTTTTTTTTGAATGAGATTGTCTCGTTTTCTTATTTTTAGACGTTTTCGACTGTCACTTGTTATTCAAACCAATACTGTAATTTATTTTACCGGGTAAGACTATAATAATACATCAAAATGGTTTCATACACAACAATTTACTCGGTAAGCGCTTACCCAGGTAATAGCCGTAAATCAAAATTAGGCTTAACATTTTATCTAAGAAATAGACCTTAAAGCCCACACCAAACTAAACCAAGCACAACTCTATGAAAAAATGAGAAAGGAAGATCACAAAAGTAGGACAAAGAAACAAGGTATTCAAGTGTAATTTCTCCATAACAAAGAGAACCAACTAAGCAAGACAGTAACTCTTTTTAACATTCTGAAAGCATGATCATAAACCAGATTACAGTAACTTTCAACATTCTGAAACAGGATTTCATAGACCACATTATCAATCAGTATCATTTTTGCTCATTTCTACAGGAAATGAGATGTGGGTTCATACATAGGACAAGATGATCACTTGGCAAGAAGGGTTTGGTGAGCCTGAGCCTGGTTCTCTTGGTTCTGCTGGTAGTTCAGGGTCCTTCTGAACAGCATGATGTGTGGCTCAGGTCGGTGGATCGCATAGTGCACCCATCCTCGACTCTGTTGCACTCCAATTGCACGCCATTCAGTCTATACAAACAAAATCACAACCCACTTTTAACATAAATCTCAAATTCCCGCTTTAGATATGAATAACAAAACTTAGGAAGTTCATTACTAGAGCAAATTTCATATGTGCTTTGCTCAATTGTTTATAAAAACCAGAGGGAACAAACTATGATGAACGGACATAAACTTCGAGGACTTGGAGAAAAAATAAAATAATGGATAGCAGAGTGTCCTTAAAAACTTATGGTCATAGGTATAGAGGTTAAGCAGAAGCATTAAGCGGTTCTCCTCAATATAGATAATATGATCACAAAATAACTGAAATCCGACTTAATTGTTTAATCACATAATTCAATGGTTAGTTGCAAATCAAAGTTATGGGGGTGATTAACATCTAAGCAACCAAAATTGCAGGGCCTTAGGGTGAGATTTATCAACAGTTTTCTGCCAAACTACTTGATCATCGAGTACGAAAGCGTTCCTAACAAAAAACGCATAATCACCAACTCCATCCAATAGCTACAATGTAAAAACACTTCCGGTTTGAAGATCAAAAGAGGTACTTAACGCATCAAAATGATATAGAATTTGTAAATATAACACCAACGCTTTTCTACTTTTAGCAATTCTTACGAGATTTATTTGTACTGATCAATTTTGTTATTTCTCAAATATTTACAGTAATCGACTAATCGTATCAATTTTGTAGCCGATAACTCAAAAGGCATATAGAAAATCTCTTCTGTAGGAAGGATGTATTATAACAACGGTAATACTGATCCAAACGCAAATAGTTTAAACCAAAAAGAATTACAGACATGAAACCCAAACAAGTTATAGAAATTAACAATATACCTCAGATAGAAGACGATTCTTCGGAAGCAGCTTCGCAACTTCTGGCGGAAGAACTACATGCCTACCGATTACAATTTCGAAACACGAAAAACAAATTACTAAACCGCCACAAGAAAAACAACAAAACAAGTACGATTTTAGAGAACAGAAAAACAATTTAAGGAAATTGAGAGCGGAATTATTACCTGTACTCGAACGTATCATCGAAGTATTTCTCAGAGTATTGGATCTGACCCATAATCGATTAAACTTCTCAGATTTCAACCAAATCCTGTTACAATAGGGATTAAAACAACAGCAGATTATAATGGATAAAACAAACAGGGAGGAGATTTTAGAAGTTAAGAAATTTACGAATCAATTAAAAACCCTAGATACCTGAGGGAGAGAGCGCAGTAGGGTGTGGTGGTGACGTAGAAAAGGGGGATGCAATGGACCAGAGAAAACGCTTCCGCTTATTTATAGGGTTTTTTAAGCTATTACTTTATTTTGCAACGGTAGGAAATTGATTTCAATTTCAAAATTTGAAAACTCGCTAATAAATGTTTTAGGAGGTGTTGCAAAGGTTGATTTGATATTAAGGGGTGTTTGAGATTGCTTATAAAAATAATTTATTGATTTATTCTGGTGTAATATTGGTAATAAACACTTTTGAGTATTTGAATAAACAATTTATACCGGTGTCAAACCGTTAATAAGAAGTTTTTAAAAAAGTTAAACCCTTCGAACTTATAATAAGTTGATAAAAGCTTTTGTAGAAAAACATAAGTCGTTTCAAATAAGCAATCACAAACACCCCCTAAATAATTATAATCATAGTATTTGATAAGTTTTTTAAATAGTTTGAATAGTATAAGAAAGAGAAGATTGTATGAAAAAATAACGTAATTAAACTTGATTTCTATTTTGGGTAACGTACTTTTAAAATTTCCGTGTTAGTACCTAAGATGTAAAGTTTTAAATATTTAACTATCCGGATAACCGGTTGAAGCATTAATCGATTACCAAATAAGTGATAAAATTACACATGTTCTTCTATCTTTGTGATCCCTTTTTAACACACCACAAAAATCCCATATGCTAAATGTTAACTCATGGAATTTAATCCAACCATTTTTTAATCAGTCTTTATCATCAAAATCATAGGTAAAAGCCCTAAGAACTCAACAAGAAACACAGAACAAAGAACCCGTTTACCTCGATATAAACTTGAATCGAGAAGCTTGAAGTAGAGAAGTTTAAGCTCGGGACAAAAACCCCTGATTGATCAAAGCTGAATTAAAGTTAACAAGAGTAATTAACAAATTGACAAAACCACAGATGAAAATAGTTGGATTTAGAGCTCTACAAACACTCAGCAAATGGCGATGCATAAAAACCCTAACCATCTACAGATCACAACAAGATATGAAAAGAATAACCAAAAGATGTAAATTCACAAAAACCTCAAGATTCGATCAACAAATCAAAGCAAATAACAAAAAATAGAGAAAACCGATAAAAACTAACAATTACCTTGATGGACGCTTGAAGAGCAAAACCATGGGTAAAGAACCCTAACCGACTTCGGTATATATAATCGATTCTAGAGAAGCAGCTTGAGTCGTCGTCTCAGACAAATCAATCGGGAGGAAGCGTCGTATTGGATAAATCAATCCAAGAGGGAGCGTCTGAGATGAAACGTGTTGAGAGTCTGGAGGAAACGATTAAGAGGATTTAAGTGATTAAGTTATCACTTTATTATTCAGAGTAAAAAATAAGAGTTTTTCAACTCTTTTTTTTTTATTTATAAAAATGGTCTGAAAACAAAAACGTCTGACCGATTCAAACTTAAGAGATATTAAGTGTATTTTTTTAAAACAAACAAGCCTTATTATCTATCAACATAATATCTAAATACGTATTCCTTTTTTTTCTTTATCCCAGTAAACGAAAGAAATAGCGACAAATTTTTCCAGCCAAAAAGTAAGCCGCCATACGAGAAGGCCCACCGTCAACGTTGATATCATCCCTAGTTTATCGTTGCAATTTATAATTACTCTCTCTCTCTAAAAAGATAACGGAAAAAAAAAACGTGATAACAAAAACCCATAAAATAACTTCAGATACATAAATGCATATACAGTTCTTTTTATCCAACCAACCAAAAACATTAACATATCTTGTCATACGTTAAACAAGACAAAAACAGTAGTTACGATAAAGAGAAACATATCTCGATATATCAAACCAAACACAACCACAAAAAAGTTAGCAGATACTACTATTTTTGGTATGAACCTCCCGAAAAGTCAAGGATTCAAAATTCAAAAATAATAATAATAAATAACAGATACGAATACAAATATATATATATATTTATTCGATTAAAAACACAAATACATATAAAAGGACCAAAAAAACCAAAATCCGATTTTCCGTCTTGCAAATGCCAAAGGAGTTAAGTTGCCCCGTTTGATGCGATCAAGAGATACGTAAACGGAATGAGTCGCCAAAACCGCCGCCGCCGCCCACCCGTTTGCAAGCTCAAGATCGCATCATACGAACATTATGGAGTTGAACACATGATCAATCTGCTGCAGACTGCAACCACCACCTCACCGAAATCTGCTGCCATGAAGCGCCGCCGTGCATGGTGGAAGGACGGTGGTGAAAGAGAGGGAGGGTTTGTTAGTGTTATAGTGTAATGATATAAGGGTTATTATGGTGAATGGTGTGATGAAGTGGTTGTACAAAGGTTTTGCAAAAAAAAGGACAGCATCTTCCATAGGATATCCGGTGACCACCCTCCCTTTTTTCCCGTGCCTTTTTTCTGCTCTATTTTTTTTATTTTTTTTATTTTATTTTTAAATTTTTTTCATTTCCAAAAAAAAAATTACGAATATTTTTTTTTATTAACCTGAATATTCAACCCGTTACGTGAGCCGACTAATCTCAAAACAACCATCTGCTTTGCGAATAACCTGGAATCACCGCATTTAAACCTCCATGGCCACGAGAGGATTTTTATTCCTCATTGGATTTGAGTCTGGGACCTCCAGATACTTTTGACCTTTGGACCTTCCTACAAAATTTCGTCTTGATCAAATTTTGAGACCTAACATAGATCGGGTTTCAGACTCACAAGACCCGGGCTTGGCCGAGATTTAAGCTTGATTTTTTTGTGCATTTATATATTTTAATTACAATTAAACCATAGTAAATAAACATATAGATCAAAATGCTCTCAAACTCTATCAAACTTTACAATCCTTTTCATTTATTTTAACTACAAGGTGGTGCCTGATTGGTTTAAGCTTGACTCCAAAGGTCAAAAGTGCCTGGAGGTCACATGTTCAAATCCAAGAAAGAACAAAAATCCCCTTGTGGCCACGGAGGTTCAAATGCGGTGACTTCAGGCTACTTACAAAACAGGTGGTCGCCCTAGGATTAGTCAGCTCGCATAATGGGTTGGATATCCAGGTTAATAAAAAAAAATAAGACCAAAATTACATGAAACAACTAAATTTTCTTTCGGTTTGTTAAAAAAAACCTAAATTTTGGATATTTTTGTCACGGTTGCAAGCTTAGTTTTGTTTGTAACAAAATGATGACGCTGAGAGATAATGTTGAACCAAAGGTTCCAAGCAAACTACTGAACTAAAAGAAACATAAAAAGGTTAGCGAATATTTGCCATCTGGGTTTATTTACGCCACCGTTAACAAATACCGAACTTATATCTGCTTATCTTTCAAACTAAATTTAAAATTAACCTCTTAGGTTGTAGCGTTCTAGTTAACCCTCACAGGGGTGGAATGAGAAACCTCATTTAATCGGGACTAGAATCAAGATGTTGTCGGAACCCTTCTGGCCATGGAAGTTCACCTACGATAACTTTAAACCGTTCGCAGTAGCCAAAAGGATTAATCGATGTGCGTAAATAACCCAAAAACCCGCGATTACCCAAAAAATTAAAATTATTATATTCGTTGGATAAATACTTTATTCTAAAACATTTTATTTATTCCAAAATTCATTATTTTACATTTTTATTAGCAAAAGTTATATGATGGTAAGAGAGTCAGTGACCAATTCAATACAAAGGTTGTAATTTAAAAAACGAAAAAAAGGCATATAAGCTTCAAAAGATCACACGGGTACACAAACGTTTCGGTGCGTCGCATGTCCCCACACTTGCTTTTCTTGTGATTCTAAAGGGATAACCTTCAACGCATTCATGTGATAACCATAATTATACATCTTTTTTTAAAGTATATAATATTAATTTATGTATGATAAATATAACAAATAAACTCACACATCATCCTTATTTTTGGTGAAATTTGAACCATTGTTCTCCTGGGAGGCCATAGACTATGATACCGCTAGGACAAAGACTATTTGGTATGTATCTATAATTTTGTTATAAATTACTATTACATTTGTTCTCGTTCCCAACTGATGTGGGATCTTCCACAACATCATTATTATTATTTGTGTAGAAAGTATGTTAACTAAATACATTTTTTTGAGATGGTGTCACAGGCTATGCCTAGATTAATCTGAGCAAACTGTGACGACGATAAATCAGTCCTGATAAATTTAGTGATCATAATTGTTGTGTATGTTTGGATTTGAACCATGAACATATGAGATATTTCAATACATCCCCTAGGACCTCAACCACTATGTCACAACCCTTGTGATTAAACTAAAAACAACTTTCAACAAGTTGATTAAAAAAAGAATATTACACGAGTATATTTTTAAATTACAAAATGTGAGATGGAACAGTTGATTAACGTTAAAGATTTGAGCTGAAAACGATAAGTTCTAAATGAAAGTCTTTTTATACTTGATTCGATGAGGATCCATGATTGGTTAAGCCAAGAATGAAACCGGCTACAGTAAGGCTCAAGGCTAAGTGACACGATTTCGACTAATTGCATCGAAATCGTGTAATAGCCAATTTTACATGTGTCATCGAGCTTGTGTGAAGATAACTCTTTTTTGAAATAAATATAACATTAATATACGACAAAAATACTCACGCACACTTCTCATGCTTGGTAAGGTTTAAACCCTTGATCTCCTAAAAGGTTGAGCACTATCGGTAACTCGAATATCATTGAACCAATCACCCTAAGGTTTGATAAACTCTTGCAGGGTTTGAAGTGATGAACCAAAATAACCAAATCCACAATTTGATTTTGATCTGAACTCTTTTATCAAACTTAGCCCAAGTTCTGAATTTGGGCTTTTTATATTAAGTCCAAAACAGGCCCAATCCAATCGTCTTGAGTTTTAAGTTTAATCAAGAGAATATCTTCGACGGACTCCATACATGTAATTTGGATAAAAAGTTGATTACTGACAACCCAACCGATCCCATACGAAACCCACCTCCAGAAACCAATGTAAGGAGGCATTTTTTGGCTCACTCAGTAGTTGTTTCTTGACAAGATCGAACCTGGTACTTGTCTTGTATTTGAGAATATCTTGACAAGTGTAATACAAAGGTGTAATTGAGCAATTTAGAACATTTCTATTTATTTAATAAAAAGGTGTAATTGAGCAATTTCTTTTTTCCGAAGGAAAGTGAGGGAAATAGGAGGAAAGTAAAAAAATACTCGTGTTCTCGAAATTTTGTTAAGAGGAAAAGGATTAGGGAACGGAAGGAAATAAATCATAAATTTCCTTCCAAAGCTTTCCTTACAGATGTGGGAGGAAAATGAAGGAAATAAAAGGAAAAAAATTATTACATTTTAAAATGATTACTAAAATTACAAAACTACCTAACCCTTCATAATAAAAAACATATTTTTAAATGGTATATTTGTAAAAAAAACATATTTTTAAAGGGTATATTTGTAAAAAAACATTGTTCCTTTTCTTTCTCTCCACATGAAAAAATTATTTTCTTTATTTTCTTGTCCTTCATTTTCTTTCTCTTTCAAGAACACAAATAAAAAAAATTATTTTTCTTTGCTTTCTTTTCTGTTCCTTTATTTTCTCCCCAAATTTGAGAACACAGCGTTAGGATCATGTGAAAAAAAAAGATTTCTGGTGAGAAACATGAGAAGGGATGAAGGTGCATTTATATTGTGTGAATGTTACGTTATATTTTATGAAGATGGTGAATGTTACATGACCTGAATATGTACCAATCACAAGCTTTTGTGACTGTACTCACCTCCACACGTTTTCACATAATAAGGGTACATTCCTATATATTATGTGAAATTTTTACATTTCTCACATTTCTTATAGAAAATAATAGGACAAATTGCATGAAAAAATAACGTACTTTAATTTAGTTTCTATTTTGTGTAACGTACATTCAAAACTTTCATTTTGGTACATAAGATGCAAAGTTTTAAACATTTTAGTACCCAGGTAACCGGTTGAAAACTAATTTTAGATAAAAAAAAAAAACTAATTTTCGATTAAAAAAATACATGTCACTAACCACGTCAACAAATAATATTGAGTTGGATACCACATCATTCATCACATCAACATGATAACCACGTAATGTTTCAACCAATTAGTGGAAATAGTAGTAAAAACGAGGATGCCGATATADGAACCAGAACGAGTGGTAAAACTATACCAGAAAGTTCTACTGATCCDGATGTAACTCAAAAATACAGGCATTTGTGGGTTCAATGCGAAAATTGTTATGGATTAAATTATAAGAAATTTTTTAAATCAAAAATGAATCTTTGTGAACAATGTGGATATCATTTGAAAATGAGTAGTTCAGATAGAATCGAACTTTCGATCGWTCCGGATACTTGGGAKCCTATGGATGAAGACATGGTCTCTCTGGATCCCATTGAATTTCATTCGGAGGAGGAGCCTTATCAAAATCGTATCGATTCTTATCAAAGAAAGACAGGATTAACCGAGGCTGTTCAAACAGGCATAGGACAACTAAACGGTATTACCGTAGCAATTGGGGTTATGGATTTTCAGTTTATGGGGGTGCTCCATTTTATTTTCCCATTGAGGCCGAACCTAAACCTGTGCATACCCTTTTTCTATTTGGGTTGCTAACTCAACGGTAGAGTACTCGGCCAGATATTTAAATATTTAAAATTTTACATCTTATGTACCAAAATGAAAATTTTGAAAATACGTTACCCAAAATAAGAATCAAGTTAAAGTACGTTAACTTTTTCTTGTAATTTACCCAAAATAATATTTTTCACAATAACCTAACCTTATATTTGTATGTGTAGGATCAAAATAATATATGAAATCAAAATATATATTATTTTGATTCTCAAAATTAATGTGAATTATTTAAAATGTAATTTGATAATTTCAACATTACAAAACTATTTATTGATGATGTTACAAAATATTGATGGTCAAGAAAGAATCTTAAAAGAAAAGTCTCCATGCAAAACACACCACGAGATTGTTCACTTGACACTTCCTTCATCTTTAAGGTAAGCATAGTTTCAAAAGGATAAAGAATGGGTGTTAATTGTTAAATAGAAATCGCGTCCAACCGTTTGATTTGGAACTGAATAAATCCGTTAACGGAAAATTTGAAAATAAGAAAACCGAAAAAACCAAATGTTCACAAATCGGTTTTGGTTTTGAATTATAGGTAACCGCGGGTACCAGACCCCAGATATAATATAGTTAACCATGTGGTATATAATACTGGATCTTAAACCACAAGGGTGGTGCCTGATTGGTTTGAGCTTGGCTCCAAAGGTCAAAAGTACCAGAAGGTCCTAGGTTCAAATCCAAGGAGGAATAAAAATCCTCTTGTGGTCACGGAGGTTCAAATGCGGTGACTCCAGGCTATCTGCAAAGCAGGTGGTCGCCCTGGGATTAGTCAGCTCGCATAGCAGGTTGGATATCTAGGTTAATAAAAAAAACAACAAACACTGGATCTTAAATATTTATATTGTTATTTATTTATTAACGAAAATTAAATGAGTGAAAGTCTTTTACGTTTTGGCGTCAGACATTACTATGGATGATTAACTTTGCTGTTATGAAGTCGTGAAGGAGTTAACATTAAACGGAAAATGAATGTTTTTGAAGTATTAAACTTATTTTAATTTGTAGTGCTTCGATTATGTTTAATTAGTTGTTGTGTAATTATTTTAAATGTTATATTTCGATACTATTTTTTTATATTTGTAAATGATATATTTTTTATAAATTCGGGTAACTATGAGCTGAGTTATGGATAACCGTTTTATTTCAGTGTGGTTCGATCAAAGCTATGATTTGGTTTCGATTCGAGTAGCCAGGTATTCGCCTCATGCGGTTCGGTTGACATTTTCGCTACTGACTGTAGAGGTGAGCAGTGGAACCGGGTATCCGGCTATGGAACCGGAACTGATATGAGTGGTTTCGGTTTCGGTTCCTAAAATACGGAACCGATTGAGAATGGTTCCGGTTCCGGTTCCTAAAATACGGAACCGATTGAGAATGGTTCCGGTTCCGGTTCCTAAAATACGGAACCGATTGAGAATGGTTCCGGTTCCGGTTCTCAATTTTTCGGAACCGTTACCCACCGGGTACCCGGTATTTTTAAATAAAAAAATAATTATTATTTTTTAATACCAAATTTATATTAGGTTTACATCTTGAAAGCACGCCGTCATCTTCATTCTTCATCTAAATTCTTCATATAGAATGATTCGTATTGTTTAAAATTGTGTGTTCACTTGGATTCATAGTATGTAATCGTTAAACTTTGAAATACCATTATAGTATGTAATCGTTAAACTTTGAACATTTTCTATTAGTCTATTATGGTTTGTAATCGTTAAACAATATTTGTAACCATTATTATATATAATTTGTATTCTTGCTTATTTATTTAGTGTTTTGGCAACGTTTTATTTTTTATTTCCAAATAACAAAATTTTAATATTTTAGGAAGCGGGTACCCGGAACCGGAACCGGTTCCCGGCGGTTCCGGTTCCGGTTCCAAAAATTTAAGAATCACTCTAACCGGTTCCGGTTCCAATATCTCAAGAACCGCCGGTTCCGGTTCCGGTTCCCGTCAAAAAGGACGGGTACCCGCCTATGCTCACCCCTAACTGACTGAACCGTGAACACCCATAGGAAAAAGGGTATTGGAAATTAAATAAAATTTTATTTGAAAAAAGTGTTTAGAATACAGATTAGAGGGTTCGTAGTTTGATTTTTTTTTGATTAACCTGGATATCCAACCCGCTATGTGAGCCGACTAATCTCAGGGCGACCACCTGCTTTCCCGATAGCCTGGAGTCACCGCATTTGAACCTTCCTGGCCACAAGGGGATTTTTATTCCTCATTGGATTTGAACCTGGGACCCTCTTGGTACTTTTGATCTTTGAAGCCAAGCTCAAACCAATCAGGCACCATCCTCGTGGTTTAGTTTGAAAATTTTATATTTTAAGACGTATAAAAAACATGTCTAAGTTTCATTTATGATACATCAACCTCACGTCAATATTGAATACAATTTATTTTATAAACTTGGATAAAAAAAACTACATATTTGAAAAGAACGTTTTCCAAAATAAAAATTGGATAAAAAACTACAGTTTTTTTTATAAAACAATGTGTAAAAGAAAGTGATAATCACATAGCAAATTTAAAAAAAAATGTACAATTTATAATATGTACAGTAGAAACTATCATCGCTATTCTCATTCGAAATTAGTGTTGGATGGAAAGAAAAAGAAACAGATTCTTGTGAACCACTTTTGGACAACTATAAAAACACAAAAAATCATCATGAATATGGTGTCAAGATCTCGCATTTCCCACCCAAAAATGCCTAAAGCCAGATCCCATATCTCGACAAGTGTTGAGTCTAGACGCTCAGTATTGGCTAAAACCTTCATTACGATACTGTTCATTTTGATAGTCATGATCGGTATGACCATTCTTGTCATCTGGCTAACCATCAGGCCCAGAAAGCCATTTTACTCTGTCAAAGGCGGTTCGATCCACGACTATAGTTTATCAAACGACAACCGGCTCAATGCATCTTATAGTTTTTTTCTAAGAACATACAACCCCAGCAAAAGAATGTCTATTTTTTACGACAAAATGGAGATTACGGTTTTGTTCAACCATGAAACTATTGGTAGTGGCGTAATTGAGCCATGGCACCACCTAAAAAGAAACACGACTATTTTTAAGCTAGATCTTGCTTCACGTAATGTGAAGTTATCTGAGACGGTATCACAAGAAATGAAGTTGGCAAAATCAACGAATAGAGTTGCATTGGATATGAAGTTGAAGGGTCGGGTCAAAATAAAGAAGGGGGTTTGGAAATCGCGTTATTTTCGCATGAAAGTCTCGTGTGTACATGTCGTGGAAACATTTTCTAATTCCTCAACGGGATTTCAAAAGGCTTTGTGTGACGTTGATATCTAATTCAGGTTATATGTTCTGTTCAATCGATCATGAGTTTTGTGTGAATTAATTGGTTTTTTTGACAATCATATGTAAATTGTTGTGTAAACTGTAACCATAATAACTCACATCAGATTTGTTTGTATTGTTTCATAATCATGTACGAGACTTGTATTTTTTTTGTTTGACTTGCAAAAACAGCAAAAACAATTCTTCTTTTTTTATTCAAATGTTTGTTGGTTTGAATCCGTCTCGCCCAGTTTTATTCACCTACAATCAGGGATGGACCTACTTTGGTGATTACGATGACACGTGCCACCGTATTATTCCTCCGTCGAAGGGTAAAAAAATTTAGGTTCGTGAAAGTGTAACCGTATTAATCTATTACGTGTCACCGTATGTATTTTGAAATTACAATGAAAACAATTTTTATTTAGCAGAGTTGGTTTGCAAAGCTTTTATTCCACCTCATACCCAAGTTCGAATTGTATTAGTATTATTTTCTTAGTCAAATGGTGTCACCGATCGAAAAAAATTATGTATATTTGTTTCTTATAGTCAAACAGTACCACCCGTTTAATTTTTTTTTCTCTAATAGTTTTTTCTTATAATCAACTGACACTACCGTTTGAAAAAATTTCTGAATTCGTCACTAAGCTAAAAAAAAATATTGACGTACGTCACCTTTTTCTCACTTTGCGTCGTATGAACCAAAATGGGTAAAAAAGATAAAAAATCTCTCCAACTGATATTTCTTTTTGTGGTCCAAAAATATAAACTTTTGTTGGTAAAAATAAGGGGTTTTTTTTAGTGGATGAGAATGAAAATATAAAGAATGAATCTTTATTATTCAAATTTAATATGAAATTTTAGGTTTTTACAGGTACGTGAGAATGAACTCATTATATTATATAATTTTTTTTATATTTATTCATATTAATGAATAATGACTGCTTAATACATTTAATCAAACGTCATGAATTTTCTTTAGTTTAGATGTTTTTGTGCAATTTTCTGTCGTAACAGGAAGGTGCAAGTCATGTGATGGCTGTCAACGGTGGGGTTGGTTGCCGTGTTTGGGAGAGTCAACTAATTTTTTTTTTTAATTCTACAAAAATTTTCCTAAATTTCGTGTTACTTTTTATTTACAAATTCAGTTAAAATTACAACTAATTCGAAGGGCACTCAAAATTTAGGGACCGTTTATTAAACAGTTGTTTTAATAAGTGTTTACCGATTCAATTACTTTGTCGGGTAAGAAATGAAAATCTTCCAATAAGTGAGAGTGATGAGCACTCACCTGATTTAAATCGCTGATAAAATCCATTTTGATGCTTCATAATATAAAATGACAAGAGAAATGAGGATAGTTTTGATAAGCTTTTAAGAAATTCAAATAAATTATCTGACTATACATATATAAATCATCATTTAAACTAATGTTCAGATATATTCATCTAATTTCTCTAATTATCTAATTTCGGGAAAAAATCAGTTATAAGATAACTGGTACAAGTAAAATTTCAATATCAAAATCCTCTAATCATAACTACTTATCAAATTATCAAATAGCAAGTAATATGTTTTTATTTTATTTTTAAACTGAAAATGACAAATTGCATGAAAAAGTAACGTACTTTAACTTAATTCTTATTTTGGGTAATATACTTTCAGAACTTCCATTTTGGTACCTAAGATGTAAAATTTTAAACATTTAAGTACCCGAATAACCGGTTGAAGTATTAACCGGTTACCATACTGATGTGACGAGTGATGTGGTATCCAACTCAATCTTATTTGCTGACATGGATATCTTAATCTAAAATTAGTTTTTATGTATTGTGGTATATTAGAAGAAAAAGTCAAATTTTTAAACCGCTTACCCGAGTACTTAAATGTTTAAAACTTTACATCCTATATACAAAAAATGAAAGTTTTGAAATTACGTTACCCAAAATAAGAATCAAATTAAAATACGTTATTTTTTCTACAATTTGCTTAATAAAAAATAAATAAACTTCGAGAAATTTTAGAATACAATTATTATTGGCAAGGTGGTATAATAAATAAAATTTAAGTACAGAAAAGTAAAATGTTGTTTTATAATTAATTGAATTTATTTAATGAATAATGGCACACCTATATTGTTTAATTCATGACCCCATTACGATTATTAGTTAGATCTAGAAATTCTAAACGTTGATTTTTCTATTTATTTATAATAAGTGAATTCTTATTCTTAAAATATGATTTAATGATTCCTTCTAGAAATTCTTTAACGTTTACTACAATTTTTTGTTGAAAAAAAAAGCTTGAAATTAATGGTCGTGTTTGTTTGACGCATCTAATCTTTCAAATGATTAAAGGGTGATTGGTTTAACGTAGAGATGTTTATGGACAATATGATCTGTTCGACCTATTAGAAAAATGGGTCTGAACTCTGGACTATCATTCTAAAAAACATGGACAAGACTGAGCAGGACCGTTAAATTTAATGGACGGGCTTGAGCAATGAAGAAAAAAATTCAGATAAGGTCACCCAACCCATTATATAATTGTAATTAGTTAGTAAATTTTTTTTTATATAATCTATATATATTTATATTATATTATAAATCATTTGATAAAAACTTTTAAAACCCACTTTTATGCGTAAAATACTACTTATTAATGCATATTACTTAAAATTCAAGATTGCAAGATGATTGTGCGTAAGTACAACTTATTAAATCTCCATATCTGAATTCGTGTAACTAACTGCAGATAAAGATAATCAAATACAGAATAAACATCTCATTTTAAATATAAAAAATCTAAAATATAATTAAGATAATCATTGAGCCATAACAGAATTAATTATTATTTTTATAAAATGTTATATTATTAAACCAAAAATATAGTATTTCGTTATTAAACTTAAATTAAATTATAATAAAAAAAAATTAAAGAAATTACATAAAAATATAACTTTTAAATATTTGATTTGATATTAACATTGATATATTTTTTTTTAAATTTTATAATATCTTCAAATTTATATTTTATTCAAAAATAAAACCATTATTGTTTTCTTAAAAACACATAAAATCGTATTATAACATTGACAGAGACAAATAACAAAATAAAATATTAAAAAAATGATGATGTGTCTCGCTGCATTGCGCGAGTATTCTTCTAGTATATATATATATATATATATATATATATATATATATATAGGTTGATTATTATACAACCCTTGACATTTGTGACAACCAATACAACTCAATCTTAACCGTCCATTTCATTTGATTAATATGTGATTTCATATAAATTTTGATTGTTTCTTGATATAAAGTATTGATCATAATTAATGAACCATATTCATCTTCCATAAATATTCAAATCATAATAAATGAACTCTCATCATTTCCATAAATATCTTAATTTATTGGGTTGTATTAGTTGTACCTATGCGACGTGTTGTATTTGAGATAACATCATGATAATTGAGTATTGAGGTGTTGGTGAATTGTGGTTGAGTTTGAGATATCTCACATTGGTGAGAGATTGAAAGATTAGAATAAGGAGATGTGTATAAGAAATAATGATGAGATTAATTGTGTCAACTCATGAGGTTGAGTTTAAGATATCACACATTAGTGAGAGATTGAAAGATTGGAACAATGAGGTGTGTATAAGAAAGAACGATGAGATTAATTGTGCCAACTCACTAGACTTGACACATAATATTATCTTACTTGGATGACCTTATTTTTACAAAACACATATTATTATATAAAAATAAAAATGAATTATGTTTACAATCATCAATATATATATATATATATATATATATGTGTGTGTGTGTGTGTGTGTGTGTGTATATGTATGTATTTTAAAATAAGAACCAATAGGTAATTAGGTGTATCATGATAATTGAGTATTGAAGTGTTGATGAATTGTGGTTGAGTTTGAGACATCTCACTTTGATGAAAGATTGAATCAATATATTTCTTATGTACCTACGAGTGTTATGTTGGATTTGAATCAGAGATCAATCTATATTGATTGACTGCCTCAATTATGTTGTTGCTAGTAAATACACTACTTTTGGTTTTGGCTCTTCCAAATCATCCCCGCTGGAGATCCAGACCCTTTTTTTTTTCTTCTGATCTTTTGATAAAAAGATTAATTATCTTCATGAAAAAATAGGAAGTAGAACCAATAAAACCAATAAAAGATGTCGTTTTCCATTCAAACCTGGAATTCAAGAATTGTTTTGGATCCAATCCATAGGAATCAATAGAAAAAACAAATCTTTTATGATACACCAGATCCAGACTAGGGTTGCTGTTTCCATTATTATATAATTTTAAGACCATAATGCATCTATGATTATACTCTAATTGAAAAAAGGATTTGAAGTGGTTTTAAGCTAACCTGCTTACTATTTATGGATTTTTTTTTCATGAATGATATAGATTAATCATACCAAATATGTTGATACCATAAACACCAAAACAAATCCCAAATTGTAAACTTGGAAAGTCACAACATAAATATAAAGTAAACTTTAAGTTATAAAAATAGATAAGAAAGTGACGATTAAGACGCATCACATACACTTAAGTGACATTTGTTTTTTAAGAAGTGTTGAAGTCTGAAGTCTGATTTCACTACATATAAAAACGTATAAAAGCATACTTAGTTTTTTTAAATTAACAGATTTTACAATAATAAGAGTCTATTTGGTTTGCTATTAAACCTCATGAGTAAAAATGTCTTTATAAATTAAGTTTTATATATAAATTAAGATAATTATCATTTGTTTTATATATTAAATAAATAATATAATTAAAATCTTTTTGTAAATCAACACAAGTGCTATATTTGGGTTTGTTTTTTTTCTAAAACATTTGAAATGTTTTTGTAAATCTCTAACAAATCCACAAATTGATTAAAATGAAAGAAAAATCCATAATAACAACCTATAAAAAGTTTTATTGTAAAATAATTTAGTTTTAACAATCGCATTAAAAAGCTACTGTAAAAATTTATTATATACACTCGTGGGTTTACAGTAAAACGTAATTTGATTTTAATGCAAATTGCCAGTAGATTTGGATACATTGCCATCACGGCAAAGCAAGATCATTTCATCACGGCAAATTATAAAAAGTCTGACGTCTATGGTGTGAGAGATATAATTATTTGGTACCGAGTTTTTCTTGTGGCACTGAACTTTTATAGCGAACAAACTAACGATTCATCATATATCTGATTTGTCTCTTACATAAATACATGATAGTTTTTGATATATTGGATTTTACTATGATGGTACTCGTGCAGTGCAGTGAAATATATCTCGATTTTAATGTTTCGTTTTATTCCGTCATTGTAGATGTTATAATACGGTTTTTATGTGGTTTTGATAGAAGATTAATGTTTTTATTTTTGAATAAAATATAAATTT